TAAAACAAACTGAAACACAACAAACAAAAAGAGCATAAATTAGGCAGTGGTGGCTCATGCCCATAATCCTAGCTGCACCAGAGCCTAAGATTTGAGGATGGTAGTTTGGAGCTAACCCGAGAAGGAATGTTCATGAGATTCTTATCTCCAATTTGCCATCAAAAAGCCAGAAGTGGAACTATGGTTCAAATGGTAGATTACTAGCCTTGAGCAAAATGAAAAAAGTTCAAGGACAGTACCCAGGCCCTGAGTTCAAGCCTCAGGACTGGCACAAAGAAAAGAGAGGGGGGGGGGGGGCCGGGGGGAAGTATAGGTCCTTGTGCAATTTACAAATACCAATGAAGAAACAGACCAGTGAAACTGCCTTCTCCATTTTTCTACAGAGGAAGACTGTAAAATCCATCAAATCTGTAAAATCCATTTATAAATCCATCAAATTTATAAACAGAACAAAGGGAAAATATTATCTATAAAGTCCTTGCTAACTAGCTGCCAGTGGCTCATACCTGTAATCCTAGCTACTCATGAGGCTGAGAATCCCAACTTAAAGCCAGTTTGTGCAGACAAATTTGTGAGACTTTTCTCCAATTAACTAAGAAAAAAAGGAAATAAAGGTGTGGTTCAAGTGGTAGAGTGCTAGCCTTCAGCAAAAAAAACCAAGTGAGAATCTGAAGCCCTAAGTTCAAGCCCAAGTACTGACACACAAAAAAAAATTAGACAAGATGCAATAAAAGGGTGGGGTCTTCTTTCTTTATGCTTTGCCCCACTCCTTCTCCTTCTATGTGCCTCTAGGTTCAACAAAACCGTCCTTAGATCCATAGTCCTAAGGTGAAAAGATATATAAAGTACTGAATACAGAAGCAAAACCAGAAAGTGTCAACATGACTCAGTTCTCAGCTTTATAAACAGACATACAAATCATGACCAGTACTGAGAGATTTCTAAATTACAAGTTAGAGGGAGGATAACAAGACTCCAAAAGGCAGAACACAGGGAATGCCAATTGGGGCACTGTGTCTTATGCCTCATCAGCTCCCATTCAGAAGTTACATTTTTTCAGTACACCCTAATTCTTTTAAGTCATCTAAACATAGTAACTAAATCTTTCCTGGCATCTTAATTTTCTCTGCCCATCCTCACATTTATCCAGAACCACATCCTTTATTTCTTTCTATTTTCCATCCGCCTTTATAGTTTTTATCTGCTGCCTCTAGGTCAAAGACCTATGTTTTGCTTCTACCTAAGTCATTAATAATATCCACCCAATTTGGCTCCCTGTTCTGACATTCCTCTTTCTAGTTCCTCTTATTCATCTCTAGTGTTACTAACTTGTCTCAGGCTACTCAGAACCCTCCCAGTTTTAGCACTTAAGAGTCTTATGCCCTGGGACTGGGAAGGTGGCTCAGTGGTAGAGCGCTTGCCTTGCATGCATGAGGCCCTGGGTTCAATTCCTTAGCACCACATAAGCAAAAAGAAAAAAGCCAGAAGTGGCACTGTGGCTCAGGTGGTAGAGTGCTAGCCTTGAGCTGAAGAGCTGAGGGACAGCGCCCAGGCCCAGAGTTCAGGCCCCACTACCGGACCCAAAAACAAAAAACAAAAAAAGAGTCTTATATCCTGAGAAAGACCTTAGTCCCAGACAAACTGAGTGGGCTGACTGCCCCGAATTCAGAGATACTTCCCCCAAACAATTCTTCGATAACATCACTTTACTGATCAAAATGATCAGTTTTACATTTCCCAGTGAATCCCAAAGTAGGTCCCAAACCTTTGCCAGAGGATAAATATGAAAGCATATTGGGCTGAGGTAAGAAAACAAATATGTTAATTCTGGTTTCTGTCATAGCCTTGGGGGACCCTTAACAAGTCACTTAATGCAACTGGAACTTAGTTCTTCACATGTAAAATTAAGAGGCTAAGACTTGATTTCCCTTTCAGTGCCAAAATTCTGTATTTCTACTCTTCTGTAGACCCTCTGATTTAACCAGATTTACCAGCTCATCCTAACCAAACACAACATATAAGTTCTCACCTTTGTAATCTTTGATCTTTCCCTTCTCCATCCAAGATTTCTCTGTTTTCTCCTCTGCCCACCTGAATATTCTGAGGAACAACACAAATCTCACTTCCTAAGGGAAGCCCAGGCCCAGCCCTGAAAGACTCCACATGTACCTAAGTTGTCTATTAATCAATACTTAGCAAGTCCTAACTCTAATGTTCAAACCCTTTCTCTACATGAAGCTTCTTTATTCAAACTGGGATAAATTCTTTGTACATTTTTATGATTTCCTTATAGAATCCTGAACACATTGTAAATAAGAGAAAATATCACTACAAATAATAGATCCATTGACTGACTGATACACAGAAAAAAGACAAACAAGAATCTAGTTGTAAGGGAAAAGCAGAAATACAGTGAGTCTAGAATTCTTTGCATATTATACCAGATTCTCCAATGCTTCCACAATTCAATAATTCACTTATCCCCAAAAAATGTTTATTAAGAATCTCCTATGAGGGAAAAACTGGGAGAGAGCAAGAGATAGGGTAACATTGCCCAAAAAGAAATGTACTCTTTACCTCATAAGCCAGCCTGAGAAGGAATGTTCATGAGACTTTTTATTATTGTTATGTAACTGTAACCCCTATGTACATCACCTTTATAATAATAACAATTAAAAATTAAGAATCTCCTATGGTCAAGGTACTATGCTGGCATGTCACAGGTGGAGAGATGGGGGAATAAACTCTACCTTAGAGATACCAGGAGTTTCCAAGTTATCCCTCACCCAACATAAACTGTTTAGTAAGACTTAAAAGACTCAAGTGGTGGCAGCTCTGCCACCATCACCCTCCACCTGATGTGTTTCCCAAATGTTTATGCATCTATTTCTCCCGCTAGCCTATGGGACTGTGAATTATAACAATAGCAATTTGATATGGGACAACAGATTCATATACAATTATCTAATTATAAAGCAAGAAATTAGTCTAAAACAAATCTCTTCCAGGAACTATTTGGTGTTTATTTGTTTTTTGTTTTGGGGGTTTGGATGAGGGGGCTGGTCATGGGCTTGAACTCAGGGCCTGGGCACTGTCCCTCCCTGAGCTTTTCACTCAAGGCTAGCTCTCTACCACTTCCAGCCATGGTGCCAGTTCTGGTGTTCTGGTTCTTAACTGGGGAGAAGAGTCCCACAGACTTTCCTGTCTAGGCTGGCTTTAAACTGTGATCCTCAGATCTCAGCCTCCTGAGTAGCTAGGAATACAGGCATGAACCACCAGTGCCTGACTCTTCCCAGAATTATATCCTGGTCAAAAACATAGGCTCCCTAATTCCTATGTTGACATGTTTTTGTGATATAACCATGCAAATATCTTTTTTTGGTTGTGATTTGGCTGCAGCCCCCTGTAGTCTTGCAAATGACACTTACTAAGGATGAATTCAGCCTGCACCTCTGTCCTTTGGAACTCACACAGCATGTATGCATATATGTATGAACACTCACCTAATTGAGGTTGAGACTTGAACAGTGTCACCTATTCCAATGACAAACAGGTTCATGAGCAAGTGGGGGGAAGTAAATAAACCAAATGGTCTGCAGAGGGAAAGATTAAGCTAGGCTAAACTGGAATGAGCTGGGTTGGGTCCAGAGTGATTCAGGTTCTGTCACAGAATGGGTGTCTCCTGGGATGACAAAAGAGGAAAATTTAAGATCCTATAAATAGGATGGATTTCCAGGTCTCTAGTAACCTCCCTGGAGTTTGAACCTACTGCTCTCTTCTCTTCAAGCAGGTAAGACATGCATGGGGGAGCAATAGCAGTAATCACAACTATGGCAATACACACATTTTGCTGAAATGTACTGGGGGAGGTGGAGACTTAAGACTACTCCTTGAGGGTGATAGCCTTGAACACCTTTCTGCTTCCTTTTCCAGGCTTTATCTGAGAGAATGATGATACATGTTACATCTGAGCTTATAAAAATACCTGTAGCATTGTCTCACTATGTCCCAAGCATCCCCAAATGAAGGCTAAAATTATTGGTAGATAACAGTCTCCCACAGTTGGCAAGACTCAAGATTTTAGAATTTAGGGACCGTGAGGCCTCATAAATATTCAAGTCTCACTGCAATGGACTGCCATAAAGGACTCAGTTTGTCCCATGCTACTTATTCTTATAGGTGTCACTATATACTGCTGGAAACCCAATATGTGCTGTAGTTAGCAATGTGCTCAGATTAGAAACCTATAAGCCCAGTTACTAGAATTTTCAGACCACAAGAAAAAATACTGATATATAGATCTCCAAAAATTCTATCTTCCCAGAATAACCAGTGTGGATCTGATTCATTATATGTGCTTCTTTTTTTAATGTACTTCTTACCATCTGTGCAGTTGATTTGGCTGTGTGTCCTCTTGCTATTTTTATCTGTAACAATTTTTGTACTCACTGATACAATTTTATATGCAGGTGTAAAAATTATCTGCATTGCTTTTGGAATTTTGCCTCCCAGAAAGCTTTCTTAGACTAGTAAGAACAACTGCTAACCTATTCCATCTTCAAATACTTGCTGTTGGTAGAAAATTATGTCCTACTATGCTGGCCTCTGATCCTCCTCCCTCTATGGGCTTCTACTATACTTTTGTTTTTGTTTTTAGAAAGTTGCTTCTTCTTTTTTTTGGGAGGGGAGGGGGTTTCCGGTCGTGGGCCTGAACTCTAGGCCTGGGCGCTCTACCACTGAGCCACCTTTCCAGCCCAAGTTGCTTCTTCTTTTAGCAAAGGAACCATAGTTTGTATCTCCCCCACTATAGCACAAAGGTCTTAAAACCCTGACTACTGGTCAAGATGAAGGTATGGCTAAAATAGACATTTTCATTTTTTTAAGTTTCCTTCTCAAACTAAAATGGGTCACTTTCCCTCTGGAAATTATATCTCTAGGTCTTCATCCCAAATCTAGACAAAATTTTGTTTCTTCTTATAGGTTCATCTAAATTTTTCAGAATGGCTCACCTTCTGAACAGCATACTCACAGTAACCAAGGTGTTTCAAAACTATGCCAAAGAGAATGGGGACTGTACTTCACTATGCAAGAAGGAGTTGAAGCACCTGCTCTTGACTGAATTCGGAGATATCCTCCGGGTAAGATACACAGACACTTTGGCCTGAGGGAGTCAAGTATGAATGATTCTGATATCTGCATCCAGGATTTCATGTTTTTCTTTATTGGTTATGTTATACTAGGAATGTGCTATGTTGGGAAGCACCTAGTAGTTCTCTTCCAATACACACACACACACACACACACACACACACACACACATCTCCTTGTATCCGAGCTTGAACAACAGGTAGTAGAATTTCAAAGTAATAGAGAATAACTTTTCAGAAGAAAATTTAAGGTTTGTATTTTTATTTCTGTATTTTATATGCGCTGTCCTCACAACTTACCATGTGTTAACTCATCCAATAAGGTTCGCTGAGAGTCTACTTTGTAACAGCACAATCCTAGTTACCAGGAACCAGTAATACAAATTTGAATAAAACCAGCTTCCTCGTCCTATAAGATCTCACATTGTGAAGAGAAAGTAGATATATATTTACAATATAGCATGAGATAGATGGAATAACTTTGTCAAATGACTCAAACTAGTTATTAAAAGAGTTGATTATAAATCTGTGTGCCTACTCCATAGAGCCATATTCCCATTGGTACAACAAAGGATGAGGTTCTGAGAATCCATGGGTCAAAGACTAGAACTAAGCCATTTCATTTTAATGGTTTCTCAATCAAGGAAAGTTTGTGGACTGAGACATGAACATTGATATACATCTTAGTGTCAATAGAGAATGTTTTGATTTTGCTGTTTGTTTTATCTTTCTACAGAGACCAAAAGACCCAGAGACTGTGGAAATCATCATGGACCTCTTAGACAGAGACAGAAATGGATATGTTGATTTTCAAGAATATCTCTTATTGGTGTTCCGATTGGTCCAAGCTTGCCATCTTAAGCTAGATAGGTCATGTGGACATAAAATCTCCCAGCAAGAAATGGAGAAGGAAGGAACACAAAATGATAAGTTTCCAGGAAACCACAGAGGCAGACCACATAGGCAGAGTCATGAAAGAGAAAGTCACTCTGGGAGACAAAGTCAGGATGTTCAGCATGATCAGTCTGAGAGACATGGCAAGAACACCCACCATGGTCAATTACAGACACAAAATACAGACTCTCATTGTAGCCAGTCTGAGGAAGAAGATGAGAGTTATGGCTCTGATGAGCATAAGAGACAAGATCAAGACTCTAGCTCTGATCAGAGACTGAATCGAAACTCTAGCAGTGGCCAACCAAAAGGGCAAGGATATACATTTGCCATAAATAAGTCAGAGAAACCAGATCAGGATTCTCATCATGGTGAGTCTGAAAGGGTTAAACAACAATCAAAATGTAGCCAGTCTGGAACACTCAGACAAGATTCTCATTCTAGTCAGACCAGTCAACAAGAATCAGGTTCTTATAGACAATCTGGAAATCTGGGTAAAGAATCAGGCTCTGGTCAGAAAGACAGTCAAAGACAGAGTTCTCAACATGGTCAAACAGACAGACAAGGACAGAGTTCCCACCATGGGCAGACAGACAGACAAGGACAGAGTTCCCACCATGGGCAGACAGACAGACAAGGACAGAGTTCCCACCATGGGCAGACAGACAGACAAGGACAGAGTTCCCACCATGGGCAGACAGACAGACAAGGACAGAGTTCCCACCATGGGCAGACAGACAGACAAGGACAGAGTTCCCACCATGGGCAGACAGACAGACAAGGACAGAGTTCCCACTCTGGTCAGTCACAGACTAAGGAAGCTGAAATTCCAGGACAAAATAGGCATTTCCAAGGGACTGATGGAACAAGGAGAGGGTCATATGTTGAGCAATCAGGGAAGTCAGGGAGACTAAGTCAACAGGTTTCAGGAAAAGAAGTAAATCAACATCAGAGACAGGGATCCCAGTCTAGAGAGGGAGATTGGCAATCAAGCAACAGAGAAGAGGGCCACAAACAAGTCCCAACTGGGCAGAATCAAAGTGAGAAACACAGCCACTGGGCAGAGAAAGAACGGGGTCACCAAAGCTGGAGTAGTCACACCCATCAAGACCAAGAAAGTCCATGTGAGGTACATGATAAGCAAAGTCATCAGACAAGGGACAGACAAACCCATGAGGATAAACAGAACCTCCAGAAACATGACAGGCAAACTCATGAAGAGGCACAACAACAGCACAGACAAACCTATGAAAATGAGCAGAACCATCAAAAACAAGACAAGAAACTCTATGGAGATGAAGAGAAACACCAAAGACAAAAGAAAACCCACAAAGAGGAACAAAATCGTCTACAACAACAGGACAGACAAAACCAGAAAGAGAAAGACAGATATCAAGAGTCAAAAAATCAGCAATCCCAAGGATCTCAACAAGGCTGTGGTAACAGAGAAAACAATCACATGAATGAAGATAATCAAAGTTCACAAGGAAAAGACTTCCATCCAACCCAGAGTGGTGGGAGGCCCCACAAAGGAGAACAGGGTAGAGGGCACCCTACCAAGGCAGTCAGTGCTCCCAACCCCTTCTATAAATATGTACAAGAACAGAGATCATGTCAGAACTAAGCTGTGTGAGCACCTGAACTAAAGCAACATGAAGCCAAAGAAAAAGTCCAAGTATCAGTTCAGCTTTAGTTCATTTAAAAAGTTAAAAATGTATACCTTCTATTTTCCACCCACCAAAAGGATGCTTTTGAGGACTAGAATTCATTTTTAGGGCATCTCAATTCTTTCAGCAGCAAATCTAAGGCTTTCTGATTGGGTGGAATCTAAGTTGTAAGTTGAGTGAAAGAATCTGATCTTAATTTTTATCAGCATGGAAATTCAAATCACTTCCTATTTGGGGCTCTCTTTAGGTAAGATATGGTTAAACCTTTGAAAGGTAAACAGTATAATACTTCTTTCCCTGAAGTTCAAGAACTAAAAATGGTATTCTGAAGACATTACAACAAGGAAAGGATATTTGGGCTTTGATGAACTTTGGCTCCTGTGGATAAAGCACCAGGAATCACAAACCTCATAGTCTATACTAGAATGAAATACAGTAACAAGCTATGGGAGTCAGGCACCACAAAGGACATCTCGAGAGTTGCCATCCTCCAGGCCCAACTCTTCACCACAGGGACTGTCCATTGGACAGTTATCACAAGAGCTGAATAGGCTCATTCTGACTCAAAATAGAAAGAAAGCTTATGTCATCTGTATGCAGATTCCCACTGGCCAAAATTATTCATCCCTGGCTGTAGAGTTCTGAAAACCCTTCAAAGATAGTCTTTGTGTAGACTGTGGAATTACATTAATATATCCAATAAATGATTGATGAGCAATGGCTTTGATGAATCCTTTTCTTTTTTATTGGGTAACCATGTTATCATCTTTCCAAACATTAGACCTCATTTCTTATCTTCTAAAGTCTCTATTCTCTAAGTTCTTTGGCATTGATAAAAATAAAAATCAATCGGAAAAAATAATAGTCAAAATGGACATTATCTAGCTATAATATTTTGCTCCATCCCCTACTAGGGATTTAACCCTTTACCACTCATTCACCAACACATTTGATGGTCATTAAGTCATTGATGGTCATTGTCAACTCTTAATGCCTCCCTAACTCTTTTTTTTGCGTGTATGTGAGAGTTGCAGTTTGTATGTATGTGGCCTGGGCACTGTCTCTGAGCTTTTCTGCTCAAATCTAGCACTCTGCCACTTGTGCCACAGCTCCATTTCCAGCTTTTTTAGTGGTTAATTGGAGATAAGAGGCTCACAGTCTTTCCTGCCCAGATTGGCTTCAAAATGCACTTCTTGGATCTCAGCTTCCTGAGTAACTAAAATTGTAGGCATGAGCCTCCCTGAAGTCTGGCTTATTTCTTCATCTTTAAAGTTATGCTAAATTTCAGATGGTTGTTGAAACATATATTGAAAATAATATATTCCAAAGTAACATAATCTGGTGTCTTTGTGCTTATTTATTTGGTATTTAACTGTTCCCTTAACATTATTTTTCACAGAAATTTAGTAAGTATGTTCTTTCAAGAAAAAGTCCATGCTTTAATCTCCACATCATTGTACTGTCCAGAATACTTTGAAGTATTTTATAGACACTTGATGAACCAAATTTAACAAAATAGACATGTTTCTGCCTCTATCCTGGCACCAATATTTGATGTCCATTGTTCTCTTCTACTATTAGCATTGTTTTCTTCCACCCTGCCTTCTTCCACCATTCAAGACTCAGCCTTCATCTCACTCAGATTTCCTAAGCCCAATTCCAACAAGCCTCATTTAAACAGAACCCCTAAAATGTGGACAGGTTCCCCTCGGCAACCCCAGCACCTTCTCTAATGCAAGATCCCAGACTGTGATCATGCTATTCTCTTATCTCTTAAACACTTCTCCATTCTTCTTCTCCCTTCTGTAGAGTTTGAACCCCACAATTACTAACTTTCAACTCCTTCAAAGGCAAGTCAAAATTTATCATCTCTAATCCTCCCTCAATGATAAGCCTCCTTTGCCCTGTTAATTTTCATATCTACAAGTTGCCCTGGGTGCAACTTTGTTTGCTGTTATCTGTGTATATTTCATCCTTTCCACAAAGCTGAAGTCATTTAACGACCTAGTAGTTTCCTGTTCCTTTGTGAACACAATACAACTTGAATTTGCAACATTGCTGTTATAATTAGCTTATTAGACAACTTAGTAGAAAAGTTACAGCTTAGTTTGAGTTGAATATTCTGTTTAAATGCAATCTCTTAAGAAGCAACTTTCCTTTTTCCTTTTTAGAGGAAAAATCATTAAGAACAACTATTGAACAGACATCAAAATACCCTTCTCTCATACCACTCATGAAATTAACTCAAAATGACTAGACTTAAATGTAAGACTGAAAGTATAAAACATAAGGGGAAAACTTCCTGACATTGATCTGGACTATGGAACTTGTGATATGACACCAAGAACATAGGCAAAAAAAGCAAAGACAAGTGAGTGGGACTACATCAGACTAAAGAGCTTCTGCACAGCAAAGGAAGCAATCAGCAAAATCAAAAGGAACCTACGGAACTGGAGAAAATATTTTCAAGCTGTACAGCTAATAGGTTAATATCCAAAACATAATGAACTCAAACAACTCAATAGCAAGAAGAAAACCCAACTAAAAGGTAGGCAAGAGACCTAAAGAGATTTTTTTTTTCAAAAGAAACCTGGCATAGTGGTATACATTTGTAATCTCAGCACTCTGGAGACAAGACAGAAAGATCATGAGTTCAAGACAGTTCCAGGTAGCTTGGGCTACATGGTAAGATAGAAACAGTAATCTTAGCAGGAAAAAAAAGACATATAAATGGCAAACTAGTACAAAAAAGATGTTCTATATAAGTGGCTGTCAGGGAAATATAAAGGCAAATTAAAACCACAGTAACATACCACCCACCACTTGTAGTGGTAGTATCAAAAAGAACAGAAAGTGCTAGAGAGAATGTGAAGGAAAAAAATCTCTTATGTATATTGTTGATGGAAATATAAATTGGTACAACCATCTTTAAAAAAATTAACCATCTCTCAAAAATTAAAGCTAGAACAACCATATTATCCAGAAATTCCACTTCTAGTTATATGTATTTATATATTTGTATATATGTGTGTGTGTGTGTGTGTGTTGAATGGTGTCAAAGATATACATGTAATCTCATATTCTTTGCAACACTATGCACAATAGCTAAGACATGGATTAAAACCAAGTGACTATCAGTGAATGACTAAAAAAAGAAGTATGTACATGTACATAAGTAAATTCATATATGTATTCATTACTTTTTCTATATCTACCTTTCTGTTCCTCAGTCCTCGATGGTGGCATTCTATTCCATTTCATTCTACTTTTTTTACAGATTTATAATTTCAAGTATGTCTATATGCTGATTCATAAGCTCACAAAAGACAAGGAAGTCATTGATCATATTCCTTTTTAAGGCCAAACAACAATGCCTACTAGTAGTTAATAGCATCATCTTATACATATAAAACACCAAGGATGTAGTTCAAAAATCTCAGATTCACAATTTTCTGGACACTGTGCTGCTTACTGGGAGTACCAAGAGAGGCACAACCTGGAAACAAGAAAATAATCATATGTATATAATGGAATGTCATTTGGCCAAAAAGAAAAGAAAAAAATCTTCTATCCATGACAACATGGATGAAACTTGAGGATGTGATGTTAAGTGCAATACGTCATATAGGGAAATAAAAATACTATATGAATGTACAAAGTTGAGCCCATAAAAACAGAGTCTAGAAATGTAGTTGCCAAAGGCTTAGGAATTGTCAAAAGGAAAGATTAGTTAAAGAATAAAAACTTTGGGGCTGGGAAGGTGGCTCAGTGGTAGAGCGCTTGCCTTGCATGCATTGAGGCCCTGGGTTCCATTCCTCAGCACCACATAAGCAAAAAGAAAAAAAGCCAGAAGTGGCGCTGTGGCTCAAGTGGTAGAGCACTAACCTTGAGCTGAAGAGCTGAGGGACAGCGCCCAGGCCCAGAGTTCAGGCCCCACGACTGGACCAAAAAAATAAAAATAAAAAATAAATTTAAAAAAGAATAAAAACTTTCCTTATAAGGTACCATGTGATGTTTTTTGTTGCTTTGTATGTTCCTCCCCCATGGTATAACCCCTGTTTTCACTGTATTTGATGTCAGTATAATTTGGGGAGGGGAAGGGAAAAAAAACAAAATGTTTAAATAGGGATAAGGGTTGACCCATTGTAACAATTAGATGTACAAGACACTATGTTGAAAAAACGAACTTTACAATTTAGGCTGGGGGCCATGGTGTAGTTGTGGAGGTGGGAGGGAAGGGATGGTAGGGGAAAAACAAAGGAGAAGGCAACAATGCTTGATAAGAAATGTACTCATTACCTTTCTCATGTAACTGTAACCCCTCTGTACAGTATTTTCACAATAAAAAACTTATTTAAGAAAAGAATTAAAACTTTCCATTATAAAATGAGTAAGTTCTGGATATCTAATGTATAGCACAATGACTGTAGTTTACAATGCTGTGTTTTATACTTGGAATTTCTAAAAAGGTAGATATTAAATGTTTCATCTACAAAAAAGCTATATGAGATGATATATGTGTTATATAATTTTATTGTGGTAGTCATTTCACCAGACATATGTATATCAAGTTGTCACATTGTATACCTTAAGTCTCTACAATTTTGTCAGTATACCACATTAAAGCTAGGGAATTATCAAAAGAAAATAATTAGTCAGACACAAAGAGAGAACTGGGAGTCGGAGAAACTTGAAGCCAAGTGCTGACATTGTTAGTAATGCCACAGCCAATGTTAGGACATTTGTGCTCCTAGACTATGCTCTAGTTTTCTCATTCTTAAAATAAAGACTTGACACAATACAATTTATAATATCTCTTCTATACTGAGTGCTATGGTTTTCTAAGTAAATGATTAGAACAACTGGCTAACCAATAAGTATGCAGCCTGAAAGAAATGTCCCATGGAATTCTAGTGCCATCTACTGGTTATTGGATTTCTTACATCTTCAAGAGATA